GACTACTGGTGAAGCCACAGGCCAGGGTGGCGCCGCGGATGTGTCCAGTGTGTTTCAATGTCTGTGCATGGGGCAGTCTTCAGTCGTGAGGCCAAAGCATCCTGAAATGCGTGGAGAACATTTGGTGCAGAAGGCTTAGCTACCTCAAGCTATTTCAGACGACGCTGCCGGGAGCCACCACAACGTAGCGCAACCTTGGCACACACCAGTGCCTTTTCTTCCTAGGTGAGATAGGTACTCCAGATTGATTTGCAATCCTGTATGTTACCCTGCCAGCGATAGCTAATGGCGATGTGGTCAATTTGTGTCCACGGCTGGCCAGGTGATGGGGTTCTCCATGTGGCGCGTTGGCGCCAAGATCCCCGGAAGCTAGTGCTCAACAGGAATAGGTCGTGATCGGCGCAAAGCTGAAGTAGTCGATCACCGTTGTCAGTTCTGCGGGTGCCATGGCCGTGTTGATCACTGAGCTCATGTTCGTCCACTTCAAGTCTACCAACCTGCGCGTTCAAGTCCCCGGCGAGCACCACAATATCGGTACGACGCTTTTTACGGAGGTCGGCCAGTTGACCATAGAACTCATCTTTAACTGACTCCGGGCTGCAATCTGTGGGAGCATGCGCTGCGATAATGAATGATAGTAGTTCCGTAGAAGTTAGTTACCGAAATGCTGTCAGAACTGCATCAACAACTGGGGCACGCTGGAGTGGATAAACTCGAGAGGACGGCACGCCGACGATTCTGGTGGTCACATCAGTGAAGAGATGTCTTAAATTTTACCAGACATTTGAGATGTGCGCCACGTTCAAGAATCCGCGAATTGCCCACAAGGCACCATTGCAGGGCGTAACGACAGGGTTTCCAAACGATATCGTATGAGCAGACCTCATTGGTCCACTAAAAAGACACCGCGGGAAACCGTTGCATTTTAGTCATGGTAGACTATTTCACCGAATGGCGCGTGGTCGTATCCATCGCGCAAACTGACACCGTCACAGTAGCAGCAGAAATGATGATGATGGGGAGTGCCGGAACAACTGCATACGGATAGAGGGCCGTGTTTTGAAAGCTCGCTGGTGCAGGAAATTTGTCGACAAAACGGCCAAAAGCATATCATCCCCAAGGTAACGGACAGGTAGAATGCACGAATCGATGTTTAAAGTCTCTTCTGTAGACTTTCGTAGACCAAAGCATCTATGATCGGGATATTCTGTTGCCTAAGTGCTTGTTGGCTTATCGACGTACGGTCCACTCATCTACCGGGCAAACGCCATCTCTCATGTGGACGGGAAGAGAAGTTCGACAACCTACAGACGTCCGACTGCCTATATCGCAGCACGTGTATCCGTCCGTAACCGACTACGTAAGTAGGCTTCTGCACTCTATTCGACACACATCAAACTGCACGCGTTCATTTGGCGAACGCCCAACGACGGCAAAAGGAATACTACGACAAAATGGTTTTCGGCGTCACGTCGAAGACAGGCGAATTTGTATATTTGCACGCAGGGATGCCAGCGAAGTTACGTCACGATTGGACTGGTCCTTACGTTGTGCAACGAATAATCTCTTACCTAACTTGTGTGATTAAGGACCCGAACAACCCCGTCGGACATCCTATGATCGTACACTTTAATAGGCTTAAACCATTCCAATGTGGGACTGACCACTCAGCCGAGGAGCTACACGATGAAACGCCGACAGAAGTAACGTCCGAAATAGAAGTACCGGCTCAAGGGGGCTACGGTGTGACAACGGGACGTTGTCTACTTAGAGGGGGTGCGGTGTAACGAACTATCGAAACCATTGTATCGCGACCGACCTTGAATCGTTACTTTCATAGCACCTTTCTCGTTTGCGTTCCAGAGTGCCATTTCTGTGCGCTTACCAAAGATGGACAATATCCCGTAGAAAACGGTTAACTGTAACTCTTCTTCCACCCCGTTTTACTTTACTGATTTCCTATTGTAGAGCCTACTTGTTTAATAGAAGTTCTGTCCCTCACAGGTATACTACACTTCTGCGCTCGGTTGCTCGCAGTTGTTCGGCCACTTTCCGGTATCTCCTTTCCAGCAGGCTCTCGATATGTTGTTTGTCGATATTAGTTCTTACGAGGTAGTCGGGGTTGACTTCCAACTGTCTACGCTGTCTCTTTGCTTTCCGTTGCAGGTCTTCCGGTCTATTGCGACCTACATTTTGTGACGGATACAGAAGAACCTATTACCCCGAACCGGACGGATATTACACGCTATGGCTCTCTGGGTGGACAAATACTCACCCACATCGCTGAATAAGCTAGACTATCATCAGAAGCAGGCATCTAGTCTGAAAAATCTTGTAAGTGATTTCCTGGGTTATGTTGGTATTTTAGGTTGACAGTACCAGCTTTCCTCATCTTCTGTTTTACGGCCCTCCAGGCTCCGGCAAGCGGACAAGAATTTCCTGTGTGTTGCGCGAGCTTTATGGAACTGGGGTGGATCGCCTCAGATTAGAGAGTCATAACTTCTTAACTCCGTCAAACAAAAAAATATCTATTTCCACCATATCTAGTAACTATCACATGGAAGTAAATCCGAGGTATGCCATCATTGCTTTTGTGCAACCTTTCCTTTGTTCCTACGCGCCATCTAGATTTTGGCTTAAAATCTTTTCTCTATCAATCATTGTCTGTTGCGAAAACAAATCTGCCATCGTTGGATTCAGTTGCACCCCTGTCGGCACGAGTGTCCGTTGAGAGTCCTTTGAGCGTCCAACAGACGTCCGATTACAGTCCTATCGGTGTCCTGACTGGACGTTTTCGGACGCAAAAGACACTCAGCAAAATAGGCGCAGGGAAACGGTTTTGAAATGCAGGCACTCAAGCAACTCTGCATTCCATATTGCAAACGTGCAATTACTCAGCCGGCGTTACTCTATGCCTACTTAACAATTGTGAAAGTGTGAAATGCAAATAGTTATGTTTGCATGAACCATGCGCTGCCAAAAGTGCAATATTAGTAACTAAAGCAAGTATTCACTATAATGTATAAAAGATAAGCCTTTTTGTCGGAGCTTATTTGTTCGGAAATACCTGCCGTCCCGTTTTTTACTCCTGGGTGTCCAATGGTGCGGACATGGACACCAGCTACTGAACACATGGACCGTTTGTTGGCGGATCTCCGGAACAGTTCTTCAGAATGTACTTTCCGGCGTTATCTTGAAGCGCGCAATACTTGCAAGCGTCAACTACTAGCTGCTAGACCGCTACGAGATGGAACTGGCTTAATCTGCATGTTCAAACCCCGAAACGTTCTTTGCCTACGTTAGAAGGCCTAGTAACGTTGGGTCATCTGTCTCAGTGTTATTTGGCTGTGACGGCACCACTACCAACACATCACGGAAAAGACTGTCTACTCAGTGCACAGTCTGAAGGCTTTTGTTCGGGAGGAACGGTTGCTGCATGTTGACTTGGCGGTGAGAGTCCCAGAGGACTCCTGTTTAACTGACGTCACAATTTTGGTGACACTGGTTCTCCATCTTCAGGAGCTAAGTCCTGCTAAGGCCACTGGGATGTATGACATTCATCTGAAGCTTCTGTACGAACTGGCAAGCGAGCTATGTGTCCCGTTTCTCGTTTATTCCAGATATCGTTTTAGAGCTGCTCCTTGTCTAAGGACTGGAAGGAGGCTCTCGTCTGCCCAGTTTTTAAATAAGTCGACAAGCATCTTCCTACAAACCACAGACCGGTTACTTTAACAAGCGTAGTAGTCAGCTTATTCGGAGAGTTAGTTAGGGATATTCTTGAAAACTGTCTCCGGGCGTTTGGTCTGCTCAGCCCATCTTGACACGGTTTTCGTGAGAGTCACTCATGCATGACTAATTTGCTAGTTACACGCGAATGTTGGGCGGATACTGTGGATCGGGGTCATGCACTGGACGTGCTGCTTCTTGACTTTTCCAAATTGTTTGCTACTGTACCTCATTCTCGCCTCTCCTTGAAGCTTCGGTTCTGTGATATATGAGAGCGTGCTCCTAAGTGCTTCTCCACATTTCTGGGAGGGAGAGATGTGTTCGCGTGGTGGCAGTTTGTTCTTCCTTCAATCAGTCCTTGTTACAGTTCCGCAGGTTTCGGTGCTTGGCCATTATTAGTTTCTCTCTACGTCATTGCGCTGCCCGAAGTGTTGGTGATACCGTCTCTCATGTTTGCATGTCTTGGAGTTTTGATACACAGTGTTTGACTTCGATTACCTCAGATTCTGCAACGGGCACTTGATAAATTTTAGGACTGGGCTGCTCTGTGGCGAATGCCCATAAATTACGCCAACTGTTCAGTTTTACAATTAAAATCAAATGGTCCCCAAACGCCTTACTTGCTTGACGGGATGAACTGTTGCATGTTTCCCAACTGATAGGCCACACATGTTCCACCGGATTCAGTCGATCGAGTTGGCGGTCGTTCGCCAGTATTCTACCCACGCAATACAATGAACCTTTATTCAACAATTTCTGGTTGCTCTGGCCGTCGCAGAAGATAACTAAGGGCACCCTGATGCATCGAGCATAGTGGATAGGGGTTTGGATGCTACTGCTCAAGCCTTCCCATCTTCTTATACCCCTCTTACGCTTTTTCCTCTATCGGCCCTTCCTAACCTCACATTTATCGTCCTGTTCTCAACACCCCAATTCTTAGCCCTCACCCATCTTTGCTCAGTAATCGCTCATCTTTTAGTTTCGAGTCACGCAATCGCAAGGCGTCGCTCCGGTCCAGTAGACAAGTCCATGTCTAGCCAAACGGACAACGTCAGTTCATCTGCTTCCATTTGGAGGCCTCGATCCTCTCCAAGATTTTCACAATGTGCACACTTTGTTGCAGATTGACCCACAAGCAGCATTTGCCCGAACACTGGGGTCTCTATCTGCTGCTTATCAGAAACTCGCCTGCAGAATTCGTATTCTCTAATTACCCTGCGATCCTCAGTGTGCGACATTGACGGTAATTTCTCATTGCGCTTGCCTGAAGATCATCCAGTTTCAAATGATGGTCAAGTCGGTGTGGGCATTGCCTTTAGTCCCCGGGCTGAATCTGCTCTGATCAATTGGATCCTAATGAACAGCTGACTATGCACTGTCAGATTGGCTGGCTCATTCAGAACCTCGAAATCGCGTAGTGACAAACGATGCCATTTTATCATTGCGACCTACGTGCTCACAAATTGTGGCGCTGACTCGGTGAAAGATGAATTCTTTCAACAATTGAACAAGCTTCTCCGTTACAAAAATGGATACTGTGTTGCTGGCTGCTGGTTTGAACTCCCAAATTAGAACACTGTCCACTGGTGAGCTTCATCTGGGCGGCCAACACTGTAGGCTCCCTTACTGGTAAGGGTGAGCGGTTCCTACACCTGTATGAAGATACTCGCCACTTTCTCGTGAGCACCAACTTCCGACACATATCCTGCCGGAGGGTGACATGGCGCCAACCGGCCTCTGACCAGCCGTGGAAGCAACTCGATCTCATCGCGATCATTTACCGCTGGAGAGGCTGTGCTCAAAACTGTCGCTCGATTTGGACTAGGAGCGTGGGCCCTGACCACGCGTATTTTGTGCCGACTTTCTGGTGCATTTCGGCGGATGTCCGCAACGGCGCTGTGAGCGCATAGATACCAACTGGCGGATTTGGATGTTCGAATGCGTATCAAAGTACGCTGGCATCCGAACTGAGTAAGAGCTCACTGGACGCAGTTGTTGATCACTGGTCACATATCCCCCTGACGTTATTAGCAGCAGACATGTCTTCGTGTGGCAAATAAAATCGCCAATCTCGACGTTGGGTCTCTGCGCAGTTTTTGGAACTTACCAATGCTCGCCGACTTGTTCCGACTGGAAGGGAATACAACAAGACTCGCTACTGCTGGCGCCTGCTTTCTTTTCCACCTGTTTCTTTTACTCCTTTCCCGCTCTCCGTTACCAGCCTTTTATAATTCCCAATTTAATTGACAGTAACCACAATCCTACCGGAGTCACGCCATCGGCAGCTACCTTCCCGCACCACCGGCTGAACAATGAGCGTATTCTACGCCTTGTTTGTGGCACAAGAATAGCAAATGAACTGTTCAGTACCGTTATTTCACGCAACAGGTTCCAATGACTGGGCCGCGTCTTGTAAATGCCAGCCCACCGGCTCCCGCAACGTGCGTTGCTTTCGCCCGGGGGTGTGGATGGAAGAAGACGAGAGGTGGCCGAGCGATGATTTGGTTCAGAAGAATGAAGGCCCTTATCTCGAAGTTGGCCTCGGTTGGTGTCTCTTGACTCCCTGCTTGGGGTCCGAAAGACGATGAACACGTTTGACTGGATACACATGGCTAGGAGCCGACCCCAGTGTCCTTTGTGTTGTGAATTTTTTTTATCCCTCCCCTCCCGCTTAGCCTCCTCCTTCACCCATAATCTCATTTCGTGGCATATTATTACTTTTACATATAATATTTGTTTGTATTACAATACTGGCTGGTAGCTTTCTGGAAGGATGTCCATCTGTTACTGGTTTCTCAGCTAGCGTGCCTCGGTTGCAGCTTTTTCTTCTTCCCTTTTATATTGCGGCACAATAGCTGAGGTGTTTTCCACCTCTACTTAACGGGGATAATAATGAGGACTACCCACTGGATACCTATTGACAACAGTCCCTTAAGGCCGCGCTGTCCAGTTTTTCTGGCAGCGTTCAACGTTCGCACTCTATGGCAACTACGTCAACAGACTGCACTTGCACGCACGTTGGACACGCTGGGTATTGACGTGTGTTGTGTCCGCAACTAGGATCCATGATCCTAATTGGGTTGTTGACCTAACTGCGCCCGACTTGTCCTCTCGCCATTGGTTGCACCCATCCCGTGACTCTGATGCGGTAACCACTGGTCAAGCTGGTGTGGACATTGTTCTCAGCTCCAAGACGGAGTCATCGTCGGTTGATAGGATTCCGGTGAACAGCCGTTTGTGTGCAGCCTGTTTGACGACATTAACTAATGTTGATTCACAAAGTAGCACTAGACGCTGTTTGTTTGTGGTTGGCGCTTATGCGTCCACCGACGACAGTTCTGATGCTATCAGGGACACCTTCTACCACAAACTGAACACGCTACTACGCAGTGTTACCAGTTCGGATATAGTTCTTGCAAGCTGTCGCGGAACCCGGTCCTTCAAGGGCTGACGGTTTGTTCGGCAAAGTAGGTTTAGCGAAAATGACAGTTGCTGACAAGGCTTGGATACGCCTGCTGACATGGCTAGAAGTCAACCTCAGGGGCGTTCCTGCTATGATTTTCTTCGTCCCTCCCCATCCCTCTTAGCCTCCCCTTCCAACCACTATCTCATTTCGCAGCATAATATAATATCACATAATACTTTTTTGTTGCCTACTAGCCGGTTGGTAGCTTACCGGAACGATGCCCATCCGTTGCCGGTAACTCAGCTGGCATGCAACTTGCGGTTTTTTTCTTTTTTCTTTTATTTATTGCGGCACAGTAGCTGACGTGTTTTACCCCTCTAGCTAACGTGTGTACTGGATGACTGAATGAGTTTGCGGGTAATTTTAAACTTCACTCCGAACG